TGTTTTATGGTTTATGTGGAAAATTATTTCAGGGCTTTAAGACTTTGTTCCTGCCATCTATCTGACGTCATATTATCAGTGTGAGCGTTTCTGCTTTATTAATAAATTCCAATGATAAAAACGTACTTGCCTCACTGAAATCCAAGCAACACGAAAACCACCATATGGAATTTGCCATAAACCATTTCTGATTATGTAATCAAAGCGATGATGTCAAAGGCGATCAGGCCCTTTAATAAAACCCAGAATATATAAACATGAAATAATGACATCAGTCAAGAAAACATTACAAAGCCTTTACTGGATGCTGTGACCACAAACCACTAAAAACATAAAGTCAATGGGAATTCTGCACTGATGGACGGACAGGAAAACACAAACGGACAGACTGACAGCCAGGAACAGACAAAGAAAACAGCCTCATGATGCAAAAAGCCAAGATGCCAACAGGCATTTGGAATTTTCTGAATCCTCATGTGTCCCATCAACATCCCACACTAACAAAATATTTTGCCTCAAACTGAGCAGCTCCAGTTTTTCTTTCTCTGCGGCTCTGAAGTTATGATGTTTGGGCCATATTCACCGACTCGGCGCTGACAGCTCATCTAGTCTCTGATCTGTCCAAAAAAGAAAACTCCTGTAAAACCCCAGAGGACGAGGTCAGAGGACGGCGCCCGTGTTTTTACTGCACATTCTTTTCAATCAGAGCGTACTCGAGGTTCAGATAGAGAGGTCGCCGGTTCGAGTCGAGAATGAGAACCTGTCACGCTTTCCCTCAAAAAGAAACTGAAACTCAAATTGGGAATATTTGGATGTGTATGAGATTTTCCACTGCTACATCCAGGATTGTAACAGGATCTTCTTACTAAATCATCTGCAAACAATCTAACGTTCTGCTGTAGCCACAAATAGACAAATTTGTAGGAAGATTTTACATTTAACTTCATTCATACCTTTTGGCTTTATAGTTTTTCTGTTTAATGTGTTCCAGATTTTTGAAAACACTTAAACAAAAACACTTAAAAAAAAAGGGTGGAGCCAGTTACTGGGTCTCCAATAACTGGGTGGATGTTCAGAAGCCAATAAAGCAATTTAATACCAGTTTCAATAAATAAACACATAAATAAACAATAAAAACAAGCTGGAGTGAACCAAGACTTTCTCCCTGAGTTATGGCATTAGTCCTGTCCTTCCTTCCTATCCCTTTTTTCCTTCCTTCCTATCCCTTTTTTCCTTCCTTCCTTCCTTCCTTCCTTCCTTCCTTCCTTCCTTCCTTCCTTCCTTCCTTCCTTCCTTCCTTCCTTCCTTCCTTCCTTCCTTCCTTC